TGCTCCCCATCTCACCTCTCTGGTCCATCCTCTTCTTCTTTATGCTCATCCTCCTGGGGCTGGGTACACAGGTAGGTCATGGTGGGGCGGCATGATGCGGCCAGCATGTTGGGATGGGGTGGCATGGTGGTGACATGCTGCTCCTTCTGCCCCACGCGCAGTTCTGCCTGCTGGAGACACTGGTCACGGCCATCGTGGATGAGGTGGGCAACGAGTGGATCATCCGCAGAAAGACCTTCGTGACGCTGGCGGTGGCTGTGGCGGGCTTCCTGCTGGGCGTCCCGCTCACCACACAGGTAGGTGACCATGGGACTGTGGTGACAGGGTGCCGTTGCCATGGTGACCTTGCTGCGCTGACACCATCAGCCATGTCCTCCACATTGTTGCCGTGACCACCTCGGTGGTGGTGACACCCAGGGCCTGGTGTTGCCATGCCGACACTGGCGATGGTATCCAGACTAAGCGTCGCCGTGCTGACCCTGGCATTGTGCATTGCCATGCCAACCGTGGTGGTGGTATCCAGGCTGTGTGTTGCCATGCTAGCCCTGGCAGCATGGCTGTGCTGTTGCCCTGCCGACGGTGATGGTACCGCCAGGGCAGCCATGCCAACAGGTCCCTCTCGCAGGCGGGCATCTACTGGCTCCTGCTGATGGACAACTACGCCGCCAGCTTCTCCCTGGTCATCATCTCCTGCATCATGTGCGTGGCCATCATGTACATCTACGGTAGGTGCAACTGCCTACAGCCAATCAGCTGGCAGGGCTGCCCCAGCCAACCAATGAGGAAGGGGGTGTGCTAACTTCTGGCCACTCAGCAGTTTCCTGCATGCTAAATGGCTGAGGCGTGCAAAGCCATTGGCCAACCGGGGCAGCCGTGACAGGAGGAGCTTGGTGGGCTCCACCACCCGGGGTGTGGAGCTGGTAGTGGGCAGGGGTGGGAGGGGGTGCAGGGTCCCACGGGGGCCCCAGTCCAGCCATGCCAGGGCTGACGGACACTCATCCCCACAGGGCATCACAACTACTTCAAGGACATTGAGATGATGCTGGGCTTCCCACCCCCGCTCTTCTTCCAGATCTGCTGGCGCTTCATCTCGCCCGCCATCATCTTTGTGAGCATCGTGACCATGGGGCACGGGGCTACGGGAGGAGGGGGCAAGGATCCCACCTGGACCCCCCACTCACCCACCCTGGGGAGGAGGGTGCTGGGCTGCAGGGGGGCAGCAGGGATGGGGCAGAGCAGGGCGACTCAGGGGGCACAGAGCAGGCTGGCTGCTCCCCACTGGCTGATCCTGCCTGTCCCTCCCCAGTTCATCCTGGTCTTCACAGTGATCCAGTACCGGCCCATCTCCTACAATGACTACATCTACCCCACCTGGGCCATCAGTATCGGCTTCCTCATGGCACTCTCTTCCGTCATCTGCATCCCCATTTACGCCATCTACAAAGTGTGCTGCTCCGAGGGGGACACGCTGCTGGAGGTGGGTGGCCAGGGGCTAGACCCCCTTGTCCCTGTCCCACCTGGGGCTGTCCCCCACCCCGCTGGAGCTGTCAGCACCCCACCACGGCTGTGTGCAGGCGGCATCCCTGGGGCACCCCATCTCCGGGCACCCCTGGGAGCCACTGGCATTCTGGGGGAGGCTAGGACAGGGGAGCAGGGCAGGTACTAACCCTGTCCCCATTCTCTCCTTCCCTCTAGCGCTTGAAAAATGCTACCAAGGCAAGCAAGGACTGGGGCCCGGCGCTGGCAGAGCACCGCAGCGGGCGCTACGCCCCGGCGTTCAGCCCCTCCACCGAGTCCCACCTGGAGGTGCAGCCCCTGCAGCCGGAGAAGGGCTGGAGCGAGGCGGCAGCTGCCTCCCCTGTGCAGGGCAGCAACGGCTCAGCCCACAACCAGGACTCCAGACTGTGACCCCCCGCCATCCCCGCACCCCCTCTAACCCCTCCTGCGCGGTGACACTTTCGCACCTTCCGCTGGCGGAGCCTCGCTCCGGGCCGCACCGGACCGCGGGGGGCTCTCAGCGCCTGTCCCCGAGACCCCCCCACCTCCTCGCCGGTTAACCCCCCCTCACCCCTCCCGTGGCATTTGTTAACCCTCGTGTTTACGGTAACCTTTGTGCGCAACGCTGGGACAAGAGAGGAGGGGGCACAGCCCCAGGAGGGCCGGGAGCCAAAGGCACTTTGCAGGCGGCCCTGCCCTGGAGGATGCACAGGATGGGGGGGAGCAGGATGGTGCCCGGCTCCTGTCCCCCCTGCAGCCGGGCAGCCTGCCCAGCTGTGGGGCACCCTCCTGGCCTATCCATGGAAAGGCATGGGGTGGGACCGGAGCTGGGGCTCGCAGGTATTGCCCACGGCCACCCTGAGCTGTGTGTGCACAGGGCCATCGCGGCAGGGGTTGGCCCTGTACGGACCCCTGGCCCAGGTGGGCACCTGCTGTGGCTCAGCCTACAGGTTCTCGGAGGTGGCTGTGCCCAGGGACAGTGCCAGGCACTGGGCCAGCACAGGGAGACGGGGGCAAGCACGCTGCCTGCACGGGCAGCAAAATCTCATGGCACAAGACACAAGCACTTCGAGCACACGTGTGTGCGTGTGTGTGCCCCCACAGACAGAGTATGGGCATGCATGTGGCACACGTGGGCACGCACATACAGACGGTACCACGGGGCTGTACAGGCGGCGAGCTGGCACGCCCCCCCACCATGCACCCCGCAGCCCCGTTGGGGGGCTGTGGGTCCCACCTGCGTGGCCAGGCACCGCCCGCAAAGCTGGGCGCAGCCACAAGTGGCGTGGGCACAGCCTGGCGCTGCTGCCTGCCCTGCAGCAGGGCAGGAGGCTGGGGAGCACTTAAGCCTGGTTGAGGGGTGACGGGGCAGGGCTGGTGTCCAGCTCTCCCCAGCAGCCCTGGCACGGGCGGGGGGGGCCTTCCATGGTGCTAAGGGGGAGCAGGATGGACCGGGCCCCCAGCTGCTGCTACTGAGAGGTACCAGCAGAGACACAGAGGGCTGTGCCAGCTCGCTCACTCCGAACTATCTGGGTACATTTAGTCCCCAATCAGTATTAGTGGAGCAGGCTGCACTGGCAAGGCCGGGCAGTTTTAAATCTGTCTTCCAGCTCCAGCCAAAGGGCTTGGAGTTCTTAATTTGGGGTGGATGGGGTGGGAGCCTTCCCACTCCGCTGCTCCCCTCCCAGCCAGCGCCCTGTGCTCCCTGTGCCATACCCCTGCGGCCGGCACAGGGACACGGCGTGGCTTGGCACGGCGGCAGTGGCGGCAGGTGTTGAGCCCCGGCAGGACGTTCCAGCTCCCCCGGCCCTGTCCCGAGCCCCCCGCCGTGCCACGGTGAGGGGTGCAGGTTCCCGCATGGTGCCAGTGCCCTGCTCCACACGTCACACCACTACTCTTCACCTCTAATTGTTAGCAATAACGCGCGCGTCCCTGGGCAGCACTGCCTGTGCCAGTGTCTCTCTTGGTGTAGAGTTCTAAAGGATCCTAGATTTTAATGAAATTTGTATTCCTGAGGCTGTATCCTGCTGTGAACTTCTTTGGGGACCCCGAGGGTGGGTTGGAGGGTGGGTGACCATGTCCCATGGGTGCAGTCCTTATCCCCCTTGTATGCCCAGCACTGGCACTGAGCAGCCAGCAGCTGGGGAATGCTCCCTTGCCCTGCTATTACCTACAAAGCCAGCTGGAGCTAAGCAGGGGGGAGAGGGGCTTGTCCCTGCTGGGGGAGAGCATTGTCCCCAAGGGGGATGTCCACCAAGCATCCCACAGAGCAGCAAGGGCAGCCATCATTGCCCCACGTGTGCCCTGGGCACCTCACCCTAGCTGGGGCTGGGCACCTTGCAGGGCAGGAGCCTCCGGTGCTGCCCCAGGGCTGGGTGAGCTGGGAGGGGGGCTCTGAGCATGGGCAGGGTGGTGGGGGGCTCTGCTCCCAGCCCTCAGCTGGAGGTGGCAGGCAGGGCTGCTCCCCCTCCAGGGGATGCTGAAACTGCCCCATCTCATGGTGACTCCCTCACCTCAACCCCACAAACTTTTGAAACTTTTATTAAATACAAAAACCCCGGTCTCTATGACCGAACGCTGCATTCAACGTACGCTCAAAAAAAGGGTCAGACATTCAAATGTACAAAAGTCGCCGGTGCCCCCCCCGGCCCCGGCATGCTGCCCTGCTCCCGGCCCCACTGCTCCTGGCCGCCCGCAGGGTGGAGGGGGGTGCTGGGGCTCCCAGCCCCACAGAGGGGCATGGGGCACCCGCCCTGCACGGCCCCAGCCTCTCCTGCCCACAGCCCTCCTGTCCCAGGCTGGAGGGGGGAAGCCAGGGAAGGGGGAGACCCCAGTGGCCCCCAAACTGCCTGTGGGTCACCCGCTGCTGGAGGGAGCCGTGGGGCAGCTGCCCTCCCGCGCCAGCCCCTGCTGAGAGGGGCTGGGGGGGGGTTCAAATGAGCCCTATCCCCCCCCCAAAGTGGGGAGGGCAGGCGGAGGCAGGGGCTGCACACGCACACACAGCATCTGCCTTTGGGGGGGACGACGGGATACAGCCGCCACCCCCCCACCTCTGGGGAAACTGAGGCACAGCAAGGGGTGTTCGCTAACCGGAGGTCTCTGTTTGGCAGAGCTGAGACGGGGCCCGGCTCTAAGCACCAGACTAAAGCAGAGGAAGACAGCGAGCCACGTCTGCGTGCCCAGCAGCGTGGGCAGCACCCAGCTGGGGTGGCACCGTCCTGCCTGCTCAGGGGGGCTTGGGCTGCTCCCACCCCTGGCTGGGGCAGCAGCGGCTCCAGCACTGGCGAAGGGGGAAGCCTGCACCCCGCTTCTCACAGCGCTGGTGGGGACCCTCCCATCTCTCCTGGAGCAGTGGGATCTCACCCTCCCTGCCTGGGGTGCAGGCAGGAGCTGGTGTGGGCAGGGGGCTCCTCACCAGGGCTGGGGCTGCCCCCTCCCTCTGCGCCAGGAGCCGCATGCAGGGCGGCCAGGCTCGTCTGCCAACACACCGAGTACAGGGCGGGGGTCCTGCAAACACACTTGTGGGGATGGAGGGAACAGAGAAACCCTGGGGAACGAGGGGCGGGTTGGTGGGCGGCCGTCTCCAGAAGGCAGCAGAGTAGGCAGAAAACATCCCCGTCCAGTCCTGGCTCTCAGGCCGGGGCAAAACCTGCTGTGCCCGGCCAGCCCGGGCACAGAGCCTTCTCCCGGCGGCTCTGCCGGCAGGGCAAGTGCTAGCCCCGGGCCAGGCGGGGGGGCGGCCGGCCAATCTCCACCGTGATGTTGGTGTACATGGGTTGGCGCGAGACCTCCACCAGCCGGTACTGCAGTGAGCTGATCCCATCCCGCTTCATTGTCATTTTGGTGTTCTGGATCTTGGTGAATCTGGTGGAAATGGGAGCGGAATGAGGGGGGGGAGGGGCTGGGGGGGCTTGCCCCACTGCCGGTGGTGCCAGCACTCCATGGGGGTGAGCAGAGCAGAGCAGGGGAGCTGGCGGCCGGTGGTGGCCCAGAGATCGCCCAGCATCATGGGTGCCCCTGGCTGCTGCGGCTCACTTACCTCTGCGGGTTGGGCTCATTGTGTTTGTCACGTTCGTGCTTGATCATGCGGTACCTCCCGATGCGGATGTCGGGCCTCGACACCTTCATGCCGTTCAGGGAAATGCTGGGGACCAGGAGCAGAGGGGGGATCAGTGTGCGGGCAGCAGGGTCGGACATTCCCCTGGCCCAGAGACCTCCAGGGTCAGCCCCCGGCCCAAATAAACCCATCCCTACTTAAACAGGGCTGTGCCAAGCCAAGCTGAGCAAAGCCAGACCACAGCCGGGCCAGTGCCACAACCGAGGGTGCCGCGTGCCTCACAGCGCAGCATGTCCAAAGCACCACTCCCGCCCAGCGACCTCTGGCTCCGCAGGCCGGCAGCTGTGGTCAGCCTGTGCTGTTTACATTCTCCAAATGCCGTCCCTTCCCTCCAGCCCCCGCGACACGTTATTACACGTTAAGGGTGGCCTGAAGCTCTCCCAGAGCTCCACACGCTGCTCGTTTCCCACCCCAAGCCCGCCTTGGGTGGAAACAGCAACTGTGCCACCGTGCCTGCGGCACCATTACAGGATGGCTGGGCGCCACCGGCCACACGCTGCTCCCCGGGGCAGCGCCACAGGGAAACACGCGGGAGATGACGCAGGAGCCACCCGGCTCCAGCACCCAACGCGGTGTGCGCGTGGGGAGATTTGGCTCCCGCTCTGCACGCGGCTGTGCTGCGGCCTGCCGGCTGGCCGCAGGAAAGCCCGGTTTGGCGCAGGCGGGGCGCCCCCGACACAC